TCATCACCACGTGATGGCAAACAGCTTTAAACTCAACAGATGAGAAGAAACGCATGGTCTTCCTCCAGAACCTAGTCCTGGCCTAGTATCTCTGGCTGCACAGTTCATGAACGGCACCACCATTCACTCAAACAGCACGCAGCAGAATTCTACAAGTTAGCCTCAGTCACTTTCCTCGTCCTCTCCTTGCAAGCCTCCTCAGGCCTACAGCCTCCCCCTCCCTAAAGCTCCCAAACCCACCACTTCTCTCCACCTCCACCTCCACCTCTAAGCGGCTGGCTCACGCTGCCAGTCTCTCTTCTCCAGCTTCAGGCGAGTCAATTCTGGCTCATGGTCTTTCTTCCAAGGTATCGTTGGACGAGACAAAGCCTAGGTGTGGGCTAGTCGTCTAGCACTTAACTGTGTGGGCTCCCTCTCCCTCCCAGACCACAGGAAGAGCTCCTAACTAGGCTCCCCGTGAGCCTTGCCTTTCAGAATCAGCCGGATCGTACCACTCCTGACTCTAACCCTTTCAAAAGCGTCTCCTTTCTGTGGGCTTTGCCTGTCTTCATCATTGACACATAGCCCCTCACTCTCTCCACCCCAATCACATCCCTACCCACCTCAAGTAGTCTAGGCCTTGTCCTCCTTCTGCCTGGAGCGTGCTTCCCTCGCCACTACCTTTCCTTCTCCTTTGCCCACAGCTCCATGTCCTTGGGGAAAGTCGGCAGGCCCACCCACAACACACCAACAGAATGGGTCAAGGATGTTCTCCCGAAAGTCATCCTCAAAGATGGACCGGTGCCTGTGGAAACCACTCAAATGTCACCAACAGATGACTAGGTAACCGTGACATGTACATACAATAGAGCAGGTCTCAGCCGTGAAGAGAAATGAAGTCCTGCTACGTGCTGCAACATGGGTGAACCTGGACCACATCGCACGGAGTGAAGTCAGTCGGCCACAACACGGACACACATCTGTATGACCACATTTATACAGAATCTGTAAACACAGGGGAGCTTCAAAACGGTCGTGGGAAACTGCCATGATCTTTTAATTCCTTTTCTTCCATGAACTTTCTGAAGCCTTTGTATACCCACCCACACAAAACCACTGCCACTAAGTGGAAAACCAAAAGTGAGTAATTATTGGGGATGAGATAAAAGAGAGGAGACGTTTTTGCTTAGGGAGCCTGGCGTTTCTATTAATGGTCATGAGAGTATTTGGGAAAAAAAGATAATGGTTGCACAGCATAACAAATACAATCGAACTTACTAAATTATACATATTAAAATTGCTGCTGAATTATACATATACAAATGTTGAACTGGAAAAATTTTTAGATTCTGCCATTACCCAAAGACATTCATTCCCTTCGGTAAGACGCACCTCTAGATGTACATGCTTTTCATGAACGTCTACCTATTTTTCAGTCTTTTCTAGCTTATAAGGTTCTAAATGCTCTATGTGTACAATCAAGCCTATGAAGCTAAACCTCTTTTGTTCTGAATTTACCTCTTTGGAGCAGCAAAGGTTAAAAGGCCCTATTTTAGCCTTTTCAGATTTGGTGAACAAGCTGATAGCTTTCTCACCCAGCACACTTGTGATTTTGAAAGAATATAAAAATAAATATGGCACCGGACCTGCCCTGAGACCAGGCTTGGAGGGCCCAGTCCAGCTGAATTCACATTCGGATCCCTGGTTTCCATCACAAGGACTTACAGAGAGAAACTGCTTGACACACCATCAGCTAAAATGAAGGGATTTTTCTGGGGACTCTCAGTGTCATGGGTGCCCAAAGAACACAGATCTGTTCTCTCGCCTTCTTTTCAAGAAAAAAAACTGTGCCTGGCAGATGTAGAGAGAAATGCTGCCCTTCATAGGTGAGGAGACTCGCCGAGCACCTTGCTGCTCTAAAGGAACCCAAGCTCCTCATGAATGGGATCACTGACTCCCTGCCAGTGGAGGAGACATGGAGGACTGCCAGAGACTAGGAGGAGCAAGCAAACATAAGCCTGACTTAAAAAGAAAACACTGCCAACAACAGTCCAGTGTACTTGATGCCAATCCTCTTTAAATTCAGACTTTTTCTTAAAGACATAGAATGAGAACGTGTGTGTATAGATCAAGAAGTAGAAACAGTAGTATCCAGAGAATTTCAACAAGGCATTTGGCCAGGTTTTCATCGTACCCATACAGGCAAGACAAACACAAGAGGGCTAAGAGAACATCAGGTGGCTAATGGCAGAGACTACCAGGGTCCATGCCTTCTGCAGGACCGTTGTTAGCAACAGGGGAGCAATGTGAAGGGTACGAATGAATGCCTATTGGCATCCAAGATGTCATCCACGGTATGAGAAGGAATGGTTAAGACACACATATTAAAAAAGAGCCAGCATCTGAAAAGACCACGATAAGTCAGAAAAACAGGCTAATTCTAATAAAATGAAACTAAATAGAGAAAAAAGAGAATGATGAAGGGTTTGGTTCCTGTGCCCAAAAGGATAGGCAGGCAAGCAGACAGATGTATGTATGTTTTTCAGATCCACTGAATCAGTTTTGACTGATAGCTACCCCATACAACAGAGTACAACTTGGGGGCTGTCATCCTCAGGCAAGCATATCACCAGGTCTTTTCCCCATGGAACCACTGGGTGGGTCGGAACCACCAACCTTCTGATTAGCAGCTGGGCAATTAACGTGTAAGTTATCAGGGCTCCACATCTAGATATACAGATATTTAGATAGACAGAACTGTGAGATGGGAAAAAAGTTGTGAGTTAGTTGCCACATATGTTTTGAGAGGGGAAAAAATGTAGAATGGCTTTCATTGACAGCAAGCTTAGTATAATCTGGATGCAACAATCTCAGTGTGCTGTGAGGTGGATATCAGAAAAGCTCATGGGATGTGTGTTAGTTAGCTGCAGCCCTCGTAGGGTTTCAAACACAGAAGGTGGAAATCCTGCTCGACTATGGGCTGATCAGACCACAACTGGAAAACTGACGTTCCTTTCCAGGCTCCTATCTTCAACAGAGCCTAATCAAATTGGCACACCTTCAGAACAGAACCACCAGGAGGCTCAGGGGTCTTGATACGATTCCATAAAAGGAGAGCAGAAGGAATAAAGAGATATAAATAGGACAAAATGAGATCTTAGGAGGCATGTGACAGCTGTCTTCAGTCATTCAACAAACATGAATTCAAGCCTATTTGGGGCCAGACACTGTGACAGGGACTGGGGGAAAGAAAGAGGAAGATGAACCACGGCCACTAGAAATTCTCAGGTATACCTGAAAAACTGAAACCTATGGATTCAAATAGTCTATGATTTCATAAGGCTGAAACACAGCTAGGGCAAGAAGTCAAACAGTAATCCATTTCAGCTCCACCTAAGGAACCGTATTTGAAAAGTGGAAGCTGTCTAATGACCAGTAAAGTTGCCTGAGAAGGCTACAAAGTTCCCATCAGTAACTGAATATTAGCTGGAGGTGGTGGCCTGGTGGTTATGGGTTTGGGCTGGGATCCACAATGTCAGCAGTTCAAAAACACCAGCCACTCTGAAGAAAGAATGGGGAGGGGGAGACTTTCCATTTTTGTAAACAGTTACAGTCTTGGGAACTCATAAGGCAGTTCTACCCTGCCCTACATCTAGTCACTAGGCTGGCATCGACGAGATGGCAGTCGGTTTTTTGAGTGTCCTGCTGAAAGCAGGCGGACCCTGACTTAGGCCGTCTTGAACGTCCCCCACATTGTATGCTGGGAAGCGTGGACTTCCCTCAGAAACGGTTTCTAGCCAGATCCACCTTGTGTGCTTCAGCACCCTAGGCTTCCTGGAGGCACTACTGCCAACTTTGCCCCCTGCCCCCCATTTACACAAGGCTGCATACTTGGAAATGGGTTTGGGAGCAATAAGAATAAAGAGAAATGGGGAGAAATTGACCCATCAGCAGATGTAATAGCAGAAAATCTATACTGGTCCATGTGCTTGAATTTTAAAAGAAAATGTTAAAAGCCTCTATCTTTTCATTCACAAATTCAATTAGAATCTTCAAGTATGTTCAATTACTATAAATAAAGATTCATTATGTACTGTTTCTCTGACTGGGTGCCATTTTTTTCTAACAAGGAAAAAAATGTTTTTTAACTTATGATCACTTCAGGGATTTTTGCCCTACATAAAACACACTCACCCCCCACCCCCTATTATAAGGTTATGTGGAAACGAAGTTTATAATACGTTTATCTCTACAAGAAATGCTTCTTCAGGCATGGCAGGTCAAATACCACGAACTAATCAAATTGTAGAATTCTGATTAAATGGTACTTACGTTTAATCCACTTAAAAACCACAGGCAGCATGACAGAGAAACAGCCCAGACCGTTGAGTTGTGGGTTTTACAAATTGGCTTAAAATTTTATTTAAGCTTTTCAATTATTTTATAATCTTTAGAGAGCATCATACATTCATATTGGCTTTTTTATTCCCTGCGCCTGGGTGTTTAAGGAGTTCTCCTTCCCAAACTGTTAACATTAACTTTTTGGAAGCAATCCATCTCACTCTAGCGATTTCTCCATTTGGAAACAATGAACGGGACACGGTTTGATTTCCAAGAGCTCGCTCGCGCTCTGGCTCTCTCTCAAACAGCAGCCCAGATAGACAAAAGTGAGAACCAAACAGGGCATCTTTCACCAGTCGTCCTGAAAAAGGGCTGCTCCCCCTCCGGCTGCCATCAACTCTGACAGCCTTCCACCCGGTCTCATCACAGTCTGCAGATTGCATGCGTTCAGAGAGTAGGAAGCAAGAGAAAGCCATCCCGTTTCCAAGCATGGAGAGCTTCCCTTCTGCACAAGTGGCTGAAGCCGGGCTCCCCGCGGGGTTTCATCTCGTTGCCAAGGCAGCGCTAACCGAGCCGGCCGGCGCCCAGCCTGCGGCAGAGCCGCCCCGCCGAGCCCCGAACCCTCAGCCCCGCGGCGCCCCGGGACCGCAGCGCAAGGCAGGCGCCGCGGCTCGACTTACAGTGACACCATCCCAGGTGACAGCACCAGTGCAGCTTGAAGCACTTGCCGTGGCTGTGCGTGGCACAGATGGAGAGCCCGTCGCACGGCTGGAAGTCGGGTCTGCGGGCGGCGCAACTCCGCGCCAGGGCCTGCGCCTCGTCCACTTTCTCGCTCTTCCAGCCGCGCTCGGGCGCGGGCGCTGCCGCCGCGC